AATAAGGTCATTTTAACTATGTTGATTCTTCCAATCCAAGAACACGGAATATCTTTCCATTTCTTTGTATCTTCTTTGATTTCTTTTAATAGGGTCTTATCGTTTTTACTATATAGGTCCTTCACATGTTTCATTAGATTTATTCCTAAGTATTTTATTCTTTTTGTTGCAATCGCTAAAGGAATTGTTTTCTATCTCTTTTTCTGACACTTCGTTATTAGAGTATAAGAACACTATGGATTTTTGAATGTTGATTTTGTATCCAGAAACTTTACTGTATTTGTTTATTGCTTCTGGAAGTGTTCTTGTGGCGTCTTCAGGGTTTTCTATATAGAGAATCATGTCATCCGCAAATAGTGATAGTTTGACTTCTTCGTTTCCTATTTGGATGCCTTTTATATCTTTCTCTTGCCTGATAGCGCTTGCTAGGACCTCCAATGTTATATTAAATAAGTGGCAATAATGGACAGCCTTGCCTTGTTACTGATCTTAGAGGGAAGGTTTTTAGTTTTTCACTATTAAATATAATGTTGGCTGAGGATTTGTCATAGGTGGCCTTTATTATATTAAGGTACTTTCCTTCTACACCGATTTTGTTAAGTATTTTGATCATAAATGGATGCTGTATCTTGTCGAAGGCTTTTTCTGCATCTATTGATATGATCATATGATTCTTATTTTTTAATTTGTTTATGTGGTGTATCACATTAATCAATTTGTGTATGTTGAACCATCCCTGTGTCCCTGGAATGAAGCCCACTTGATTGCGGTGTATAATCTTTTTAATATGTTGCTGTGTTCGGTTTGCTAGTATCTTATTTAGGATTTTTGCATCTGTGTTCATGAGAGATATTGGTCTGTAGTTTTCTTTTTTGTGTGTTATCTTTACCAGGTTTTGATATCAGATTAATAATATTGGCCTCATAAAATGAGTTGAGAACATGATTGATTTTAACTTCAGTACTACCAGATAAAATCTGCAGTTACACCAATCAACTGGGGAAAAAAGTATGATCACCACTGGAATTTGTCAATGAGAGTGAAACAAAGGCTACTTTCCTGCCACCGATACTAAATCCCACATTTTCTTCATTGACTTTCCCAGGTGTCTTCTTTATATAGAAAATCAGTCTCTATATAGAAAAGCAGGTCTGAATTCTTGACCTGCTAAGTTACGTCTACCTAGGGAAGGCAGGTAATACCATTTCTTCCACCTAGCAAAACTTGGCATATTCGCTTCCTGTGGGTTCAGAGGTGACAAGAGAAAAAGGAATATCTCTGGGGGCTGGTTATATGGCAGCCTCTGGGCAAGGCTGCAGCAGAGGGGACTGTAGTAGAAAGCTAGGGGCACGGTGTCCCTAAGGGTGATCTGCTTTGTTTATATGCCAAGGACTCTTTCTACTCACTTGCTGCTCTACCATCCTATGTCCAACCCAGCACCTTGGGAGTCTTCTTGCTCCCCACTTCCATATTTGTTACTAATATTATAAATTCTCTTTCTGAAACATGTTGCAACTTTCCCACTTCTTCTCTCTGACCCCACTACCAGAGCTACTTAGAGCCTCATTTGGTTTCTAGGGTTGCTGCAAGTCTTCCTCACATATCTCCCAAACCCCAGCTCATCCTCCATGCTTCCTCCAGAGTTCTCTCTCCAAGAAGCAGATTCTGATGTCAGTACCCTGCTTATATTTTTTTAAAAATGAAGCACCATGGGCTCCAGAATAAAACCTGCCTGTGCCTGCATTTCTACCCTTATCTCCTACCTTCCTTCAAAAATACTTACCATTTCCTATAATCATGTTGAGTATTTTTCGATCCCTCTGAGGTGCCTTTTGCTTGTGTCACTTCTTTGACTTCTGGAACGTGGGCTTGAGTGTTAGATTCCCAGCCCAGTGTTTGCTCCATAACAGCCAGCCCTTGCAGACTTCCTCAGCACTGACAAATGGAGATGGTTTCTCCCTCTGGCCATTCATGGTGGTTTGTTTCATCTGTTTCATGGCTGTAATTATAGATTTCTTGTCTTATATTACTGTCTTTCATCCCTGGTAGATTTTAACCCTTGGAAAAAAAAAAGCTTCATGGCACCTAACAGACCTATATTTATTGGTCTTAATGCATTGTACTTTGTATTAAAATACTTACGTTCACACTTTATCCACAGGACCATCATATTTTCTGCAGTCTGCAAGCACCTCAAGGGCGTGATCTGTGGGGTGATTTACTTTTATGTTTTATATGATAGCAGCATAAAGTTAGCTCAATAAATAAAATAACTATCAGTTAATCACTCAGAATTTGTAAAATAGCCTAAAAGTAAGAATGGGAGTATTATTTGATAAAGAGGTACTCTTTCTGGGATAATTCAGATGTTTCACTATAATAAAATTTTAGAAAACAATAATTCTCATAGGACATATCAATGGCCCAATAGTTATAAGATTTACCAACTAATTCATTCTCCACTATGAACTCCTGCTCTTTCTCCTTAACTCGCCATATCTCCAGCAGCCCTGGATTCTTCTCTTATTTTCTGTCAATACCATTGCAACAATATTTTTTCACAACTCAGATGTTTCACAATATCTGTTCTGGTCCCTGCCTGCAAGCTGACAGGATATTTCCATGTAATAGCTGAGGCACTGATATTCAGTGTTTGAGTGTCTTAAGGTCATCAGGCGGTTTAAAGTTAAAAAGAGACCAAAATCCGGTCTCCCGATTTCTAGTACAGGACTCTTTCCAGTTCACTAGCCTTTCTCTTATGTTTACACCTTCTGCTCCTGTGGGGGTAGACGAGGAAAGCAAGCTGGCCTGAGAGTTAAAAGATCTATATTTTAGGAACGCCAAGTGAGATCTTGGGCCTCGAATGATCTCTTCTATACAAGGAAGGTAGTAGGCAGAATAATCTAAGTTCTTTGCTAGTGCTGTTTTCATTATAGCATAAATAATTTCATGTTACAACAAACATTTCCCTGTGTTACCAATAGTGTATTTATAATGAATTTTTTAATGACTACAGAGTATTTTGTGACATTTATCTTTAATCTGTTTAATTTCTTATTATTTTTACTTTTTCATTTTCTACATAATGCTTCAATAAATATAATCATGCATGCACTTTTTCCTTCAATTAAATTATTTCCTTAATATAAATAAGTTTCTAGGAATGGGATTACTGAGTCCAAGGGCATAAACATAATTGTCATTTTCAAGATTCTAATTGTCAGATCTGTTTCCTCTCTTCCTGACTCCTTAGAATTTATTTCTACACCTTATCCACTTGCAATCGTTTAAAAAACTTGTACATTTACATTCGTGCACCTCTTAAACATGAGGAAATGTTCCAAGAAATGTGTCATTAGGCAACTTCGTCATTATGCAAATGTCATAGAGTGTACTTACACAAACCTAGATGGTATAGCAGCCTACTACTATAATTGTATGTGCTGTACTTTTATACACCTGGCAGTGCAGGTTTGTTTACAGTAGCATCATCACAAATACATACATAGTGCACTACATTGCATTGAGACAGTTACAACATCACTAGAAGATACAAATTTTTCAGCTCCATTATAATCTTACGAGACCACTGTCATATACACGGTCCACTGACTGAATTGTCGTTATGTAGTGCATGACTGTATTTCAAAACCACTTTGAAAAATGTAAGGAAGTCTAACTCTAGCTAGGACTAAATTTAGATGATTTGAATAAAATACATAATTACATAATTCATTACTTCCCTCCCTCCAGGCTTGACCTCCAAAGGGGGCTTGGAGCCTCCTCTTTCACACGTTGATAACCAGCCAGTGCCTTCACAGAGTCCAAAGAAATTAACGAAATGTAAGTTATTTATATTCTTTGCCATCATATTATCAGTTGAATTCAGATAAATTTAGAAAAGGGTCACTTTAGAATCTTTGCCTATATTATCCAGAAAAATGTCTTGTTAGTAATGAATTAAAATGCAAGCTGTACCTAGCCATTCTTCACCATAGAAAGAAGTGAATAGAAATTGTGATCTTGTCATAGTAAACTAAATTCTGTATTTTAATCTTTTATATTTTGTGTTAAGGTTTATTGACATTAGATAATACTACTGGGGATGGAAGATTCTCTTTGATTACAGGATGACTATTGACAAATAGTACATTCAGGCACTTAGCATAGGGCCTGGTACATGGTAATTGCTGACATATATTGAATACTTACCATACTGTTGTCCGCAGAGCTGGTCCATGTTATAATTACCATATAGGGTATTTGTAGAAAATAGACACTCCATTTTGTAGAATTTTACATACGTATTAATCTTGGTCACTGATGTTGATTTTTTAAAACTTTTTAATTGGAAAGAATTTCAAATGTACAGAAATGTTGCATAAATGAAAATAGCACAAAGAATACTTGTATACCCTTTACCCATATTCACCTATTGTTAGTATTTTACTCCATTTGCTTTGTGCAGGCCTCTCTGTTATTTTATTCTGAACCAACTGAAGGTGGATTATGTATATCATGACCCTTTACCACTAAAATACTTCAGTTTGTGTTTCCTAGGAACAGGTATATTTTCTTGCATAACCGGAGCATGGTTGTAAACTTCGGGAAATTTAATATTAACACGGTACTTTTCTGTAATCTACCATGTATTTGTATTACAGTTTTGTGAGTCGACTCAGTAATGTCCTTTATAGCACTTCTCGCTCTGCCCCTATATAGTGAGTCTAGGGTAATGTACTGTATTCATTTATCATGTCTTTTTAGCCTCTTTTAACCTGAAACTGTTCTACTAGGTTTTGTTTGTTTGTATGTTTTTATTAGACTGCTCCTTATTTCAGTTTTACCTGTTTTCTATAGTGGCTACACCAATCTGCAGTCCCCCAACAATGCACAAGGGTTCCCTTTCCTCCACATCCTCTACATGTTATTTGTTGACTTTTTGATAACAGCCATTCTGACTGGTGTGAGGTGATACCTCACTGCTGTTTTGATTTGCATTTCCCTGATGATTAGAAATGTTGAGCATCTTTTCCTATGTCTGTTGGCCATCTACATGTCTTCTTTGGAAAAATGTCTTTCATGTCCTCTGCCCATTTTTTGATTAGATTGTTTTTTGGTTGTTATTGAGTTGTATGAATTCCTTATGTATTTTGGATATTAACCCCTCATCGGATATATCATTTGCAAATATGTTCTCCCATTCGGTAGGTTGCCTTTTTGTTTTGTTGATGGTTTCCTACACTGTGCAGAAGCTTTTTAGTTTGATATTCCAATCGTTTATTGTTTCCCTTGCTCAAGGAAACGTATCTAAAAAGGTATTACTCAGACTGATAGTTTACTACCTATGTTTACTACCTATGTTTTCTAATAGTTTACTACCTATGTTTTCATTTAGAAGTTTCATGGTTTCAGGCTCATTTTAAGTATAGTTTTGTATATGGTGTAAGAGAGTGATCCAGTTTTGTTTTGGTTTTTGATTTTTGCATTTATCTGTCTAGTTTTCCAATACCACTGTTGAAGAGACTTTTGTTGCTCCATTGTATATTCTTACCTCTTTCATTGTAGATTAGTTGACCATATAAGCAAGGCTCTCTATTCTGTTTCATTGATCAATGTGTCTGTTTTTGTGTCAGTACCATACTGTTTTGATTATTACAGCCTTGTAGTATAGTTTGAAATAAGGGAGTGTGATACCTTCAACTTTGTTTTTCTTTCTCAAGATTGCTTTGGCTATTCATGGTCTTTTACGGTCCCATATAAATTTTAGAATTATTTGTTCTAGTTATGAAAAGAATGCCATTGGTATTTTGATAGGAATTGTATTGGATCTGTAGATTGCTTTGAGTAGTTATATGCATTTTAATGATATTAATCCTTCTAGTCCATGGACATGGTATATCCTTTTTCATTTGTGCCCTCTTCAATTTCTTCAGTGTCTTATAGGTCTTTTAACTCCTGAGTTGAATCTATTATTAGGTATTTTATTCTTTTAATGCAATTGTAAATGTGATTGTTTTCTTAATCTCTCCTTCTGATGGCTTGTTATTAGTGTAATGGATATCTGTATATTAATTTTGTGTACTACTACTTTACTGAATTCTTTGATTAATTCTAATATTTTTTGGTTGGATTCTTTAGGGTTTTCTTTATAATATCATGTGTCTGCAGATAGTGACAGTTTTACTTCTTCCTTTCCAATTTGGATGCCTTTTGTTTCTTTTTCTTGCCTGGTTGCTGTGGCTACGACTTCCAATACTATATTGAATAATAGCGGTGAGAGTGGGCATCCTTGTCTTGTTCCTGATTTTGGAGGAAAATATTTTAGCTTTTCACCATTGAATAAGATGTTAGCTGTGGGCTTGTCATATATTGCCTTTATCAAGTTGAGGTAAGTTTCTTCTATATCCACTTTGTTGAGAGTTCTTACAAATGGATGTTGAATTTTGTCTATTGTTTTTTCTGCATCTATTGAGGTAATCATATGATTTCTATCCTTGGTTTTGTTGATGTGATGAACCACATTATTCTGTGGATGTAGAACCACCATTGCATCCTTTGTATAAATCTTACTTAATAATAGTGCATAATCCTTTTAATGTACTCTTGAATTCGGTTTGCTAATTTCGCTGAGGATTTTTGCCTCTGTGTTCATCAGAGATGTTAACCTGTAATTCCCTTTTTTGTAGTGTCTTTGTCTTTTTGGTATCAGAGTTATGCTGGCCTCATAGAATGAATTTGGAAGCATTCCTTCCTATTAATTTTTTGAAATAGCTTGAGAAGAATAGGTACTAATTCTCTTTTGAATGTTTGGTGGAATTCACCTGTGAAGCCAGTTGGTCCTGGACTTTTGTTGAGAGTTTTTTGATTACTGCTTCAATTTCATTGCTAATAATTGGTTAAGATTCTCTGTTTCTTCCTGATACAGTCTTGGAAGGTTGTATATTTCTAAAGTTGTCCATTTCTTCTGGATTGTCCAATTTGTTGGCATGTAATTGTTCATAGTATTCTTTAATGATCTTTGTGTTTCTGTGGTGTCAGTTGTAATCTCTCCTCTCTCATTTCTGATTTTATTTATTTGTATTTTTTGCCTGATGAGTCTCGCTAGAAGCTTGTCAATTTTATTTCAAAAATAAATTTTATTTCAAAAAACCAGCTCTTAGTTTCATTAATCTTTTGTCTTGTTTTTCTATTTCCTACTTCATTCACTCTGATCTTTATTATTTTCTTCCTTCTACTTTGGGTTTTGTTTGTTCTTTTTCTGGCTTCTTTATGTGTAAATTTAGATTGTTTATATGGGATTTTTCCTGCTTCTTGAGGTATGCCTGTATAGCTATACACTTTCCTCTTATAACTGCTTTTGCTACATCCCATAAAATTTATGAGATTGTGTTTTCCTTTTCATTTGTCTCAAGGTAGCTTTTGATTTCCTTTTTAATCTATTGATTGTTTAGAAGCATGTTGTTTAATCTCCATGTATTTGTGTTTTTTTCAGTTTTAGTCCTGTAATTTCTAGTTTCATGCCATTGTGGTCAAAAAATATGCTTGCTATAATTTCCATCTTCGTGAATTTACTGAGACTTGTTTTGTGGCCTGGTATGTGATCTATCCTGGAAAATGTATGTGTGCACTTGAGAAAAATGTGTGATCTATAGTTTTTTGGATTAAATGCTCTATAAATGTCTATTGAGTCAAATGGGTCTAATGTGGCATTTTAGGCTATCATTTCTTCATTAATTTCTGTATGAATGATTTATCCATTGAGGTAAATGGAGAATTAAAGCCCCAACAATTATAGTATTACTGTTAATTTCTGCCTTTATGTCCATTAACATGTACTTTATATACTTGGGTGCTCTTGCATTGGGTTCGTGGATATTTACAATTGTTATATCCTCTTCTTGGATTGACCCCTTTAAAATTAGGTAATGTCCTTTGTCTCTTTTTACAGTCTTTGTTGTGAAGTCAATTTTGTCTGCTATAAGTATTGCAACACTAGCTTTCTTTTCATTTCTATTTGCATGGAATATCTTTTTGCATCCTTTTACCTTCAGTCTGTGTGTCTTTTGATACTGACTCTCTTGTAAGCAGCATATAGATAGGTCATGTTTTTCTTAATCCATTGTACTATTCTATATCTTTTGATTGGAGCATTTAGTCCTTTTTGACATAATTACTGATAGGTATGTGCTTATTGCTTTTTTTTTTTTTTGCTTGTTTTGTGGTTCTTCACTGTTCTTGTCTTGATCACTTTCCTTTTAATTTCTTGATTTTTAATGTTTTGATTGGATTGCTTTCTCTTCATTTTTTTTTGTATGTTTTTGGTTTATAGTTACCATGAGGTTTATATATATCCATCTATATCTATAGCAGTCTATTTTAAATTAATAGAGATTTAAGTTCAATCACATTTTAAAACAACTACATTTTATTCCTCCCTTCACTGTTTTAAGTTCAATCACATTTTAAAACAACTACATTTTATTCCTCCCTTCACTGTTTTTTATTCCTACAGTATCTGGTCTTCCTAGGTGGTCTCCCCTCCAAGTACTAACCAGGCCCCACCCTGCTTAGCTTCCAAGATCAGATGAGATCAGGCATGTTCAGAGTAGCATGGCCGTAGACTCCTTTCACTGTTTTCGATGTAATATTTAATCTATTACCAGTTCCTTCTAATGTATTCTTCATTTCAGTTATTGTATTCTTCATCTCTGATTGGTCCTTTATTACATCATCTGTCTCTTTGTTGAAGTGTTCTCTGAGTTCCTCTATTGCACTCTTAAGTTTGTTTAGCATCCTCATAACTGATTCTTTGAATTCTTCATCAGGCAAATTACTTATTC